AAATAATGTGTTTTATAATGTGTAGAAGAGAAGGTTAAAAGGACAAAGATAAATAGTGTTGACAAAGCATTAAATGCAGAAGAGACCAGAGTGAATCAGATCGTGGCATAAGAGCCTTCAGTGTGAGAAAACGCACAGCTGTTCCTCTGAAATTTAAAGAAAGTTGGCCAGGATTGGTGGCTCACACCTGTAATCCTAGCACTCTGGGAGGCGGGCAGATCTCTCAAGGTCAAGAGTTCAAAACCAGCCTGAGCAAGAACGAGACCCCATCTCTACTAAAAATAGAAAGAAATTAATTGGCCAAATAAAAATATATATGGAAAACATTAGCTGGGCATGATGGTGCATGCCTGTAGTCCCAGCTACTTGGGAGGCTGAGGCAGGAGAATTGCCTGAGCCCAGGAGTTTGAGGTTGCTGTGAGCTAGGCTGACGCTGCAGCACTCTAGCCCAGACAACAGAGTGAGACTCTTTCAAAAAAAAAAAAAAAAGAATGTAGTAAGAGAATAGATATGGGTAGTTTATTTAGTTACATGATGAAAGTGTAGAGATTTCACACTTGATAATCTCAATTTTTATGTGAAGTAGAACTTCCTAATCTCTCAAGAGGACAGAAAGGATATGTGAACTAAAAAAAAGAGTGAACTTTTGGAGTGTGAGAGAGAATGTATTATATATGGCAAAGATTTTCTAAATAGGTCAAAGGCACAGTTGAACTCAGAGATCATGGACTTATAGTAATACTGGTCTACCTGACTATTTACTTTCTCTCAGCTCTCTTCAGTCACTGTGAATAAACTGATGATTAGTCTGATCCAAGAGGAGAAAGGTCCAGGTGTTTGTAGAAGGACAAAGAAATGAGAACAGTGTGATCCACGGTGACTTTTATAATAGAGCAGGAAATATCATAAACCCCGAAGCAATGGGAGCAAAGAAGAAGATTGCAGATCTGAAAATTCACTGATAACGAAGATGTTTTAACTGACTCTAATGATGGAGGTTTTGATCAGAAACTTATACATTAAAATTTAAGCTCCCAAAGACGGAATGTTTCCTTGGAAGAAATATCTTCATAAGGCAAAAGACTAGAGTGTGACTATGGAATTCAATTTATGCCATGAGGCAGTTCAAACACTGATGAGAGTGATTAATGCCTAAGAATTTAAAGATAAGGTGCCAGATGTGTCATGGAAATGAACACTGAAATTTATAAAGAAAGAAGTTGAAGAGGTAGACTGAGAGCAAGATAGCAACATCTTCATGACATTCGGCAACAAGGAAGGGTAGAGTGTATATATTTACATACACGCATGGATTTCAATTGAGGCAGAGGTTTCACAAAGTTGATTCAAAAGTGATCTGGAAGGAATAAAGGAGAGCTGGAAAAGAAAATAAATAAGATTTTGAGAACAAAGTACTTTGTTCTATAAGTTCTTGAGCTCTATAAAAAAATGATTCATGTATTATTTTTTAAGGGAATTGCAATCTTATGATAATATGTACATACTTCAGGGAGAGGAAAGATTTGAAAAAATGCTAATGATCCTGGCAACCATCTTCACTCAATGAGTATCTTCTGAAATGAGATATTTGAGTATCATGTTCATTCAAAGAAATAGAAATTGAAAGGGAGTCACTACTACACAACATACATATGACAGTAGGGTTTTATATATTTTTTAAAAAGTCCAGTAAATATGAATTTTTAAAAACTATATCTCATTTTTTACTATTTGATTCAAATATACTTTGAAAACAAATTACAAAAGAAAATAGATGTTTCCAAATTAAAATAACTAACTCCAAACTTTAACTTTTGCTTTAAAAGATTATTTGTTTTAGAAAAGGCATGTTGAAAATAGCACCTTAATCTTTTAAGATGAAATATGGCTATTTTGTAGTTATCAAAATTTGATAAACCAAGAAAATTGTAAAGTGAAATTACTTGTTTATTGAAATTGGAAGTTAATCAGTAAGAACTGTGTAAGGTAATTTAATATACCAAACAATCACTATGATTTTATGCTATCTTTTCTAAATGGGATTATGTTGTGATACAGGAGTTTTTTAAAAATATAAATGCTTAGAATCTTACAACACAACATTCAGTTGTATGGTGTGTGTCTATATAGTTTTAGCTACTTAGGAGCCTGAGGTGGGTGGATAGCCTGATCCCAGGAGTTCCAGCCTGCGGTGAGCTATGATGGGGCCACCGCTTTTCAGCCTAGGAGACAGAGCCAGACCCTGTCTTGAAAAATAAATAAATAAATAAACAAATAAATAAATAAATAAAAAGAATCGTATAACACAAAATTGAATGAAAGAATCCAGAAGACAGAAAGCAAAACATATTCTATGATTCCATCAATATACGATAAATAAATAGACATAATTAATTAATGATATTAGATCAGGATAATGGTTCCCCTGAGGAAGATGGATTATGACTGGAAGTGCATGAAGTACATTAGGGGATAAGGGTAATTTTTTGTTTCTTGATGTGGATGCTAGTCACACGGATGTGTTGTATTATGTATGGATGTGTGTATTATGAAAAATTTTGATGAGCTATACATTTATCATTTTTATACTTTTTGCATATTTTTATACCTCCATAAAGCTTACATTAAGAGTAAGAAAAATTTGTTTCAGGAAAATTCCTAAGTTAACCACAAGTTAGAAGATAATATGTAACCAAATATGACTTACTGGACATCAGTCCCAAATTTGCTTGTTATTAAGTAGAAGAAATGTCCTGGATTCCTTGACTCAGATGCTGGCCTAATTTTAGTCATAAATATACTTTTTATTTCTTATGTTATCCTTTGTCAAATGAATAAAAATCTTGTGGATCAAAGCTTAGAAAAAAAAAACACTTTGATAACTGTTTTTCTTTCTTTGTTCTTTTTACTTTACTTTAAGAGATACTGTGAACTAATGTTGATATCTAATTATTATGCCATTACTCTAATGCCAAAACTGACATCTGCCATGATGTAAAACACATAAACCATCTAAAATTATGAACTGGTAGTTTGAGCTTATCCTCTTCTATAGCTAAGAATTTTAACTTAGAAAATTCATGAAATATTTGATCTTACAGTGAAATATCTAAGTTGCTTAGTTTAATTTACCTTTTCTAACAAGTAGATAGGATTATCCTGAATGTTTTCAACGGTTCATAATATATACAGAATTTGAAGCTAAGTCAAGCTTATATTGTACCTTAATACATATTTGCTATTATTTACTATTGTCACTATTTGCATCCCAAGTTTATTACTTATTATATAGACTTTGATTATTGAAATTTAATTAAAATTAGAACAGATTAACATTTCAGTTTCTTGGTCACATTAGCCTAATTTCAAGTGTTCATTAGTCATATGCGGCTAGTGCCTACTGTATGGAACAGAGAAGATTTAGAGCATTTCTATCATTTCAGACAGTTTTATTGGGCAGCACTAATTTGCATAATTAAAACAATACATTCTTCAGAGGTTTTTTATTATTAAATAAGATTATTTTTGTACAATTCTTAGCATTGTCATGGCAACTCATAAATGCTTACTATATGATACTTAACAATAATAGCATAGGGAAAATAAGAATAACCAGAAAAGGAAATAATAATAATGTTAATGGTAAATAAAAATATATAGCTTGCACATTTAGTATCATGAATTAAGTATATTTAATTTTGTTTACATTTTCTAAGACTCTTCTATCCATCATTTCTTTTCCAGATATTTTACTATGAAATAATTCTGAAGGTGATATTCTGAAAATGTTTCCCTAAGTAGAAGTAATAGAGCTAGCCTAATATATTATGCTCACCACTGTAGTTAAAAATAAATTTAAAAAATTTTAAGCAACTAGTTACCCCTTTTTAATTCTAAATGGTGAGAAATTTTAACACGTAGATCATAAGTACTTGCCACCAGATACAAATCTGGTTAATCAGGATAGAGGATGATTAAAAAGGAAGTCACATAGTATTTTAACTCTCTCTAATTACAGTATGGCACTAATTAATTAGGATTTCTTTATGCATTTTTAAATTTATTTGTTATAACTCTGAACTTTGATTTATCTTATTTTCATCTGAAAATATTTTACTACAGTCTTTTGTGTTTATTTCCTTAAGGCCAAATGCTACATCGAAAACACAATCACATGGTGTGCATAGCTATTATACCAAGACAATTGTTAGGTGGACAATCAATCTCATACATCAGCAAATTTGGATCACTAACCAGAGTTGAACTCATCAGATACAGAAATTTAAAACTTGATTTATTGACTCTGTTAGTGCCCATGACCTTTTTAATTTTTTTACATTCACAAATAATAATTGTACATATTCTTATGGTATATAGTGATGTTTTGATACATACAATGTATAGTGATCAGATCAGCGTAATTATTAATAACATATCCTTCTCAAACACTTATCACTTTCTTGGGCTGGAAACATTCAATATCCTCCTTCTAGTTATTTGAAAGTATATAGTGTATATATTATTGTTAACTATAGTTATCTTCCAGTGATATAGAACACTAGAACATATTCCTCCTATCTGGACATTTTGTTAAATGAAAGAATCCAGGAACAGAAAGTAAAACCACATGTTCTCAACCATATGTAGAGACTAAAAAATGTTGACCTCATAGAAGTAAAAAGTGGAACAGAGCATACTAGAGGTTAGGAAGGGGAGAGGGAGGGGAAAGGGAAAGAGAGATTTGTTAAAGGATACAAAATTACATCTATGTCCTTTGCTTACATTTAAGTAATCATTATCATTCTAATAACAACCATTTAACACTGTGGGCACAAGATTTATAAATCTAAATAATGATATTCAGAATAAATAGACTTTTAGAGGCACTTTACTATGTCATTACTACATAAGAAACATCAAAAATAAGTATCACTAAGCCCTTTAATAAAGGTTATTTTTTCCTGCTTATTTATAATCTCTTTTTTTTTTTTTCATCCTAGGCTACTGATAAAGATACTGGCAATTACAGCGCCATGGCATACAGACTCATAATACCACCAATTAAAGAAGGAAAAGAAGGATTTGTAGTGGAAACATATACAGGGCTTATCAAAACTGCTATGCTCTTCCATAATATGAGGAGATCCTACTTCAAGTTTCAAGTTATCGCAACTGATGACTATGGGAAGGGACTGAGCGGCAAAGCAGATGTACTTGTAAGTACATAAACTTCAGGAAGGGAGGTACATGCAATGCTAGCCAGGGGGCAGTGTTTTCAGTTTAAAAGTGTTATAGTTAATTTAAAACAGGTTTTCAAAAATATAAATATTATTAATTTTTATCCAGAATGTTAATTACTATAGTTTTGGATAGGAAGACACATATGGATGCATATGCACACGGACATATACATGTATATTATATTGCTTGATTTTTTTTTGAACTTTGGAAAATATATGGTTGTAATAGCAATTTTATAAACATAGGATTTATATTTGGTCTGTAGATTTCATTTTTAATAGGGTTGGCTAGAGCTACATACAATTTCAAACTGTTTCACAGAGTTGTGCTATCGAAACCAAAATGTATGAAATTATTACAGTTTAAATTACTTTTAGCCTTTTGTAATTGAGAAAACAAAAGCAAATGTTTTGAGGCAAATTTATGTTCCAACAGATGTGATTTCCTTGTTTTATCAAAATCTCCATTGATGGCATTGATGATCCTTGACTAAATTACATTTGGCTACAGTCAATATCATTTCTCTAGTCTAACTTTCACTTAGGCTGTGATAGGTCATTTCCAAGGGCAGTTTGATATTAATTTTTATTCAAAATATTTAACACCAGTGTATATACAGTGGACTCTCTACTAACTTGGATGCATGGATTATTTGGACTTTTATCTGGTAAATCTAATGCAAAGTATAAGTAGAATTATTATTGGAAATATTTGTCACATAAAGACAGATCAGGTATAATTTGTCTTTTGTTCATTACATCTTAATCATCTTAATAAATCTTCATTTTTCATAGTTCTCCTCATTTAGTTCTCTGGACAAATTTAACCTTCATATACATGCAGACATCAGTGGCTAATTTTTGTTTTTTCTTAAATAATATTAAAGACCAGCCACCATGATTGTGGTGGGTATGAGGACCAGAACACTCCTCTAGCAACATTCTCATTTATGACAGTAAAGCTGCAATAGAATAAACAAAGGCCGATCTAAGCTGAGAAGCTTTTGACGTAGAAGATACTAAGATTGACAGAGATTTTGATCAAATTAAGATCTGTAAACCTGATATAAGATAATGTAATTACTTTTTCTGTTATTTAAAATATTCACATTGTGGTACTTATTTGCTACACAATAAGATCACTACACTAAGTATAATTAAAATATTATAAACATCAACACAAACAATATAACTAAGTAGATATTATATATAATATGTACATAAGCAATATAAAATTTATGTTTTTTTATTTGAATTTCATACTTATTGTGTCCAAATTTAAAAATATACCTTTAAAGCAATTTAAAATGTATTTACAAAGAAAGAAATTTAATTCAAAGAAGTTGTCATACATTATGTTTATAAATATATATATTTTATTCTGATGCATACTAAGAGCATCAGGGAAGCCATTCCAGCAAAATGATATTTATAATAAGCTCTGAAATCCTTTCAGTCAAGAGAGAGGAGATGTGAGAGAAAGAGGAGTTTTATCACAGACATTTATTCAGCCTAGAAGAGTATGAGAGGAAAAGTGAATGAAAAAATGGGGCTGGAGATGGAAGTAGGTAGTCCATATAAAAGCTGAAAGCCATATAAAAAAAGTTTAGACATTTCTTCTGAAGCCAATGCGAAGGCATTGAAAATTTTTATAAGGGGGAAGATAAGATTTTTTAATTTAGATAAAAGCCTCTTGCTTAGTAAAATCTAGGTCTCCCCTGAGGACATTATTGTTACTGCTGCCTACTGAAATGGTGGCTTTTGTTTGTATTTTTTTCTGTTTTTGTTTGCCATCATCTTCATACTACACTGCCAGAGTAGATCCTTAGTGTACAGAATAGTTACTTCTAAATCCTTCCTCCTTCCTGAGAATCCAGACTTCATTCTCATCATCTGACTCTATCACTCATTGCCCCTGTGATCTCTAAAACCTTGGATCATTCTCCATCATAGCTCAACGAATTTAGCTCCTGAGTTACTGTAACTATCTCCAACAAGTCTATTTTCTTAATGTTTTTTTTGGCAGTTTCATTATGTGTGGAGATGATTCTTTCAACATTCTGAACTCAAAATTTCTTGTATGTCTTTCCTCCAAGGTTTTTGCCCTCCACCCTGTTTCAAATACTTAGAACCATGGTTGGCTTTGCCATTACCTCTAAAGTTTCATTTTAAACCTACTACTCTGACCTTAATATTGAATGTTTCCAGTTAAATTCAGCACTCTTTTGTTCCCCTCAGGACCTTCAATTTGATTAGCCTACCATATTTTTAACCTCTATCATTTTCTCTCATGAAAACCCCTTATGTTCTTTCTTATTTACCAGATTTATCGTGCATTATCAATTATAATAAGCATTCAGTCACACAAAAATTAACTTTCTTGCCTTCTTTCCCTACATCATATTCAGCAAAACCATAGCCCTAACTAGTTACAACTCTCTTCTTTCTTCAGCCCTATACACGTGCTGACTACGTCTGCAAAAAAATTACACAATACTATAATTAGTATCACTTTAAATTAATGACTAAAACCCCTCAAAATGACTTTATATTTTGTTCAGTAACCACACAATATTTCCCAGTCTATTCATACTCCCAATGTGCTAGAAAATCTCTCTGTTCCCTTCTCTTCATCCTCACTGTTGTCTAATTAACTGGCATCCTATTTCACAGTAAGATAAAAATTAAAGCATTTAGAAGCATTAGAAGGATACTTATATGATTCTCACCACTAAATCTACCTACTCATCAGGATCTACAGCAGCATTCTTTGCTGTCCTTGTGGTTCCTTTAGATGAATTCTCTCTGTTTTTATCTCAAACTAGGATGACCACCAAGGCAACAAATACATACACAATATGAAGTTTATGGGTTTTTTGCAATAGATTCAATTTCCACTCAACAGATCTATGACATTGCTTCAGCAGCTCTCCCATTTCTTTATTACATTATCAATTTCCCCTTTATGATTATTCCCTCAACAATGCTTTTTTCCTATCTTCTAAAAATAAAACCCTTTTTGACCTACATGTCCATCTAGCTGCCACTCCCTTTCTCTAGTCCTATTTTCAGCAAAATTCCCTGTTAAATTTGACTCTAATATCTTACTATCTAATCTCTCTTAAACCCTCTTTAATCATAATTCCACGCTAAACACTCATCCAAAACTGCACTTGTCAATATCGCCTATGAATTACGTGTTATTAATGGGTTGATAACTTCAGTCCTCATCTTACTTGAACCATCAGCAACATCTTACTAATTACTACCAGCCCTACGTTTTCAGGCCACCCACCATACTCCCTTGATTGCCTCCTATCTCACTGTTCACTCTCTTAGTTTCCTTCACTAGTTCATTTTCTTCTCCTGACCTTTTAGTGTTGAAGTTTCTCAGGGCTCAAATATTACTTCCCTTTTCTGTATGCACTCACTGATTTGGTAAGCTCACTCATTCCCATAACTTTATAAAATATCATCTACATACTGAAAACTCGCAAACTTATATCTTTAACCCAAAGCTCATTCCTTAACACCAGACTCGTATATCTATCTTTACATGCAACAATTTCATTTGAATATTTAATAAAGATATCTATTTAATGTTTCCTAAACTGAACTCTTCATCACATTTCTTCCACCTATAGTCTTCACAATTTCATTTGATGAACAAATCATCTTTGAATTTTTTAGGCAAAAACAATTTCTTGATTCCTTTCTCTCCTAAACCCCAAATTCATTCCTTCAGTAAAGACAGTTATTTCTACCTGTCTATCAATATAAGGTGTCTAAACACCTATCCAATGTATTGTATGATGAAATAAGAAGAATGCATAAAGTACTTCTGCTGTATGCAGAATTAAGGTGGTTTTCTCAAGGAAAAGCACTATGTAAGCTGAACTAACCACTTTTTTCATGGACTATTTATTTGAAAGAATAACTTAGAGACAAAATATGGTTACTCAAACTTGGGTACTTGGTAGGCATTTACACAAAAATAAATGAAATGAGCCTGTCACTTCAAGGAAAATTGACAGTGTGTTTTATTAATGATAACATTGAAGCTTTCAAGCACAAATTAGAATATTTAAAAGATTGTCTCCATCATGGAGCTTGACAGTTTCTTATCACTTGACGACTTTTCTGGTGAGATTAGTGGTCATACTAAATAGCGATTTATTTGTTGATATTGTGTAATATGTGTCAACATTTGAAAAATCTGCATTATTCAGTGAACCTATATTTTCTGAATGACCAATGTACAAGATATTAAAAAATCATTCATGGGTAAAGGATCAATTCAAAGTACAAGAGAGGTAAATGGATTTTAATGTAACTGAACATGGTTTTAGATTTCATATCAAAACTAAGAAACTACCACTTGAGTTTTGGTGTAGTATAAAAAAAATACACAATTATCAAAAAAGGCTATTGAAACACTCCTTTCATTCTAGAAAAGTGAGGTTACAGCAGTGACCAGAGACAGTTAACAGTTTAAGCAGGAGACTATGAGTATCTCTAGAGCTCACTTTACCAGTATGCCAGCTATCAGCCAAATGCATCTACTGAATACTTCCAATAGGGCATATTCATCAACAGCTGTTAAATTAGCTCATTTTAGCTCATATTTATATTTCTATGCATATATTTCTTTACCCTACACAAATTCAAAGTAGACATGAAAACTATATATGATGATTTCATAGAACAAATTATTCCAACCATTAATATCTCAGATTCTTAGTCACTATGAATAATCTCTTTCTTGAAACTTCTAAAATCTAAAACACAAATTTTCCACTGTCCTGAATGTTCTTTGATAATCAAATTAAAAAGAAACAAAAATTCCACTTTTAATTTCTTAGTAAATAACCAAGAAAACAAACACAGAATCCAAAAATAGGTTGAAATCACTTCCGATTCTTCATTTCTAGGTAAACAATTTTCAATCTGCCCCAGTTTGTCTCTAACATCTAGTGGAGATTGTATAATTTTAAAAAATTATTTGCTTCTGAATTTAAAAATTAGAAACCACTGCGTCTCTGTGTAGTAAGGGAGAGATAATGTTATGTTTTGGTTACAGAAATTTTGGTAAAAATTAAATGAATTCTGTTTTATCTTCTTGCAGGTCTCTGTGGTCAATCAGCTGGATATGCAAGTCATTGTTTCCAATGTGCCCCCTACTCTAGTGGAAAAAAAGATAGAAGATCTTACAGAGTAATTGATTATGTTTACTTATATATTTATTTTCACATAACTATAATTTTAATTTGAGTTGGTCATCTTAATCATTATATTATTCAGATTAAACATATATTTTACAACAGTGTTTTAATAATAATTTAGCTTACTCCTTTCCTAAAGTAGGTAGACTCATTTGAAATATGCAAAGATTTTGAAAGTATCTTTAAATAAGGATGAAAATTAGATGTGAGAAGTTCTTATTTAGAATTCTTCAATTGATTAATCAACAAAGCCTCAAAATGCTGCATCTCAGAAATCAGAACATTCATGATTTAAATATATACCTTGATTTTGTGGCCCTGCATTGCTCAAAAAACAATCTGGCTATGGAAATATGTTATTTCTACAAGTGATGTGTCTAGATAGCTAGAGCTTACATTTTTACAACAAAGTTAAGACAAATTTTAAACTTTATACATATGTAAATATATTCAAATTGTTATAAAATATGTGGCGTATCCCTCTGCCTTCTCAGCCATGTGCACTGACCATGGCTGAAGATGTTATAGTTGATGCAGATATAATTGCGATTATTTATTAAACGGCTGTTCTCTAACATTTTGATGCCATAAAAGATTATTAAAATATCTTTACTACTTCACTCTTAACTACCCTAATCTAGCCTGCCATCATTATTTAATTTTTCTATTTTGGCATTTGTTCTTCCTTGTCTTCTACTGATTTCGGGTTGACAGATGTCAATTACCACTGCCAATTTGCCTCTCTCTAGTGGAATATCCCCACTACTAAATTGTCAGAAGTTGTTTCAAATAGATAGCTAAACTTTTAATAATTATAAGACAAATAAAATTCAATAGGCACTGATTAAAACATATGCTTTTCTTATAGGAAAATCACATATGTTATTTCAGTATAGTTCACAAATTCAGCATTTTGGTGTCACATGACTTGTCTTATGGGGGAGGAAGTTATGTGTATTTATGGATGAAATATCAATCATGAAGTATCCTTGTTTATTTCTACAGCAGTAGCTTATGTACACTTAACCTTTATCAAAATAATAGCTGATTACACTTGAAAAAATTAGAATTATGCTTAATTTTTAGCTGCTTTCATGTCATCTATTGAAACAGGCTTTCTCTGGCTGCATTATCTAAACGAAATGACACCCTCTTCAATTTCTAACTCTTTATTCTGCCTTATTTTCCTTCAAAGCATTATCTAAGGTCTTTTTATATGTCAATTTCCCACTAGAATGTAATCTGTATGAATGTAGGAAATTTATTTTTTACTGTCATAACTCTACTTATATAGTAGGCACTTGATGCATTTTATTGAATAGACATTTTATACACGCAAATCATGATGTGCTTTTCTTCATATTGAGACAAAATTTATGAAACTGAAAAAGCAAATGGCAAAATGAAAGTGTAATTTCATAAGAATTTATATGATTTAATGTCTCTTAAGTGGATATGATGATATAAATGGGAAATATCAGGCACTTTTCTTGTCTTGAAAGAATCATATCATTGTGAAAGGAGCTTTGACTTCATATAATGTCATTGGATTTAAAACATAAATATGTGAAAATAGTTTAATTTTTTCCAACATTGGTGTCACCATTTGTTGATAAGAGCTAATGAAATTTATACTATTGTTGTGAAAACTACAATATATAAGGCATGTAGGGCAATAGAAATTATGCATATTAAATGAATGATCAATATTCTACATAAATGGCATTAGCAGACCAATTCCAGTAGATTTAGGTAGAGAGTTGCTGTGATTTTTGTACATTTTTGTAAAAGAGCATGGTTTAGTACTGGAATACAGACTATGGATTCAGACACAGAAGTTTGAATCCCATTATAGCTGTGTGACCTCTGAGCAAGATATTTCACACTTACAGCCATACTTCCTCATCAGGAAAAGTAGACTTAATATATCTATCTTGTGTTGATTTTGAAAGATTTAATATAAATTTTGCAATATAGTAAGCATAGAAGGCTCATATTTTTGCTGTTGTTGTAAAAATATACATGTACATACATATATATATATATATATATATATATATATATATCTCACAAACTTTGTCACCTTAAGGATTTTTTTTTAAGTACACAACTCAGTACTGTTAAGTATATTTACATTGTTTTAAAATAGATTTTCAGAATATTTTCATCTTGCACAACTGAAATTCTGCAACCATTAAATAACTCCCTGTTCCTGCCTTACCCCCAGACCCTGGCAAGCTCCTTTCTATTTCCCACATTTATAAATTTGACTACTTTAAATATATCATAAAAGTGGAAACATGCAATATTTCTCATTTTGTGATTGGCATATTTCATTTAGCATAATGTCCTCATGGCTTGTCCATGTTATAATGGGATTTCTTTCTTCTTTTTTTCTTTTTTGTTAAGGCTGAGAAGTATTCTATTGTATGTATATAATACATAATAATGACCATCTTTTTATTAATACAATTATTGGCCATTTGAATACCACCTTTGGAGAAATCTCTATTCAAGTCCTTTGCCCATTTTTTTAATTGAGTTATTTGATTTACTTTGGTTGATGTTGACTTGTAGGAGTTCTTTTTTGTATTATTTCAGAATATTATGGAGATACAAACACTTTGGTTACATAGATTTCCTTTGCACTGCCTGAGTCAGAGCTACAAGCGTGCCCATCCCGCAGACAGTGTACACAGCACCTGTTAGGTGTAAATTTACTCATGCCCTCCTCCCCACCCCAACCTGCTCAACACCCAATGAATGTTACTTCCATATGTGCACATAAGTTGGACCAATTAGTGCCAATTTAATGGTGAGTACATGTGTTGCTTGTTTTTCCATTCTTGTGATACTTCACTTTGAAGAATGTGTTCCAACTCCATTCAGGATAATAAAAGAGATAGTTCACCATTCTTTTTATGACTTAGTAGTACTCCATGGTGTGTGTGTGTGTGTGTGTGTGTGTGTGTGTGTATATGTGTATATATATATATATATATACACCACATTTTATTAATCCACTCATCGATGGGCTCTTGGGTTGTTTCCACATCTTTGCAATTGTGAATTGTGCTGCTACGAACATTTGAGTATAGATGTCTTTATCATAGAATGTCTTTTCCTACTACTAGGTATTTACTCAACGAAATTATTTATATATTCTGTTATTAATCCCTTACCAGATACATGATTTGTAAATATTTTCTTCCATTCCATAGGTTACCTTTTCATTCTATTGATTATTTCCTTTAATGAACAAAAAGCTTTTAAGTTACACATAGTCCCCTTTGTCTATTTTTCTTTTGTTGTCTGTGCTCTTGGTATCATATCCAGTAAATCATTGCCAAATCCAATGTTATAAAAGTTTTATCATATGTTTTTTTCTAGGTATTGTATAGTTCTGGGGTCCTACTTTCAGATCTTTAATCCATTTTAAGTTAATTTTTGTATATGGTGCAAGAAAAGGATCTAACGATTTTATCCTTTTACACATGAACATTCCATTTTCCTAACACTAGTTGTTGAAGACTGTCCGTTCCTTGCCTGATTCTTTTTTGCAGACTCTTTTTGAAAATTTGTGTAAATTTAGAATTTTCTTCAGTGGAATGTTTATGATTCTTTATTGAAAACTACTTTAGTAGATGGAAGTGGTAGTGATAAGAATTGTGGGACCTGATTCAGCACGGTGAAGCCCCAGTGCTCACCCTTCCAGTGTCTGGGGCGAGTAATGAAAATACACACATAACTCAGACAGGCAGCAGAGTGCCAAGTAGTTAATTAAATGTAAGAATTTATTATTCCAGTGACCAGACAAATCAGCAGATTTATTCCCTGTGGATATTCCCAGATGACAAATCATATCATCATCAAAGCCATTTTTTATATTTCCCATGAGACATCCCTATCCTGTGGAGTAGAAAACTTGAATTTCATGTGATCTTCATTTTTTATTTTTTTTTCCCCTCAGGTAGACCCATATGTTAGGCCAGAATAAAATTCAGAGTTTCCTTGGTAAGCATGAAATCAGCACAAATTGAGACACTTGATGAAAGGAAAAAGTAATGAACTGATATATCTGTTTTATGGTGCGGAAGGTTTTACAAAGATCAGTATACCTTGACAACTAAGAGCACAGTGACTGAAAAATGGAATGCTCATAGTAAATCTGAGCTGCTATAATGTTGATAATGATTACTCCTCACTTCTCTGGAATGGGATTACATGGCTTACAGAAATTTTTATATTACTTTTGTTACTTTATGCTTATAACATTGGCCAACTTCCCTAAGTAATGAATCACATCTGTTTTTAATTAGATTAATGTATGCAACAAATTCCAGTGAGCATCTGTGTCCCCTACAGATAGCCTTGCATATCTATGCTGTAAAATATTTTAGATTGATCTTAGAATTTCTCTTTTTGTGAGCCTTGCCTTACTTTTACTTACAAATTTTTTTAATTAAGGCATTGGAGAAAATACTGTGACGATAAGGGGAGGGACACCTTAATATAACCAACAAATAATCGACAGTAGTATCTAAAGAAGAAACTAAGATATGTTTTCACTTTATATCTTCCTTTCTTCTACTCCCACTTCAACATGAAGCTCAAATAAATATAAGGAATTTGGGGTTATAAAAGTTAAATCCTTAGAAATTTATAGTAAAAATATTTTTATAAGTATCGACTAAAGAGTTTAGAGTACTGTGTTACAGTATGAATAGGAACTGATAATTTTAGTCTCAGTGTTGCTCAAATACATCTCTTGCTTTATAGACATAATATGAAAATTCCATTGTAGTAGAACTTTATTGAAGTAGTTACTGACTTAATGTGGAAGAGCCTCATCTTAGTGAAATATTTAGATACTAATTGAAACATATTTGTGTAGTCAATTTATAGTTCTGGAAATTAAGGTTACAAAACATATTTTAGAAATCGTGTGTGTGTGTGTGTGTGTGTGTGTGTGTGCATTTATTTCTAGAATGA